GAGAGAAGAAAGGGAGCCAGCACTGTCGACCCTGCCAGAAGGCCCGAGTCCCAGGAGGAGGCTCCTGAGACGGAGGAGCAGCACGTATACCTGCAGCCCCCGCCCCGAGGCCAGCTCCAGAGAGGGCTCCGGGCACAGAGCAGCACTGGGAGGGAGGCCCTTCAGCTCCCGACAGCCCCTAAAGGTTCTCACAGACACACACACGGACGGACAGCTCCTGGAGGCCGGGGCCAGCCATGGAGGAGGAAAGGAAGAGAAGACAGACTGCCAGGGCCCGGAGTGGCCATGCACACACCCACACACGCGCACGCACACACGCACATGAGAGAGAGAAAATAAAAGAATAAAAACTAAGGGCCCAGATGTACAAAGACTGAGTGAGGAAGAAGGCGGCCGAGAGGGCGGGAGATGGTAGTGCTCCGGAAGTCTGCCGGCGTCCTCGGCTATAAATTAGAGCCCCGGGAACAGGGCTGGGGAATGATGAGGCTCCGGCTGTGGCCTGGGGAGGGTGGTGACTGCTCTGGCCCATCGGATGGAGGGTGGCCAGAACACAGAATCCCTTGGGTGGGAAGGAGAAGCTCAGCAGCCACTGGCAGGAGTCATGCAGGCCCCCTGGTTCTTCACCTTGTGACGCTGGCCCCCTCGTCGCCGGCCCCCACTGCTGGGCTTGAGCTGAAAGAGAAAGGAGGAGCTTGAGAGGCAGCAGGCTACCGGGAGCAGGGGAGGGGAGCAGGGTGGGGCAGCGGAGGAGCAGGGGCAGCAGGTGAAGGGCAGGCAGTGTGGTCCCGGCCTCGCCTGAGCACGGCTCTGCTGGTCAGATGGAGCAAGGGCCTGCTCTGCCTGCCTGCGGGGCAGGTGGGTCACGTGGCCAGGGTATGTGCTCGGAGGAGCACAAAGAAAGTAGGAACCAAGCCCTGCCACCGATGGTGGGACAGGAAAGGGAATGACGAGCCAGAGGAAAGCGATGGGGAGAACAGAAAGAACAGGTGCAGCACAAGCTTCCTCCTCCAGAGGCGGGTCGGCTGGAGAAAAGCTCTAAAAGGGAGGAACCTGGGACAGAGCTGGCAGGGGTGCTGAGTGACAGCCACAGTGACACAGGGCCAAGGCCACTGGCCCCTCAGGAGGGGTCATGTTGGGGGAGGGGGCACAGGAGAGCCTCTAAGGCAGATTTTCAAACCTTTTGGACCTCGGCGCACTCACCCACACACACAAATGCTGTTTATTCTTACTAGGAACGGGAAACTGAAATGTGGGAAACTCTCAGCTCATCGGGACCAATTAAACTGCTTCTATGTAGGCCACACCTCCAAGTTTGAAAAACAGCGCCTTCAGAGGCGACTGCACATGCTCAGAAAGCACCTGTGCCGGGGCTCTCACACGTCACCCCCACTGACGCTGTGACAGCCACACCCTATCGCCCTGCCTGCACCCGCCCGAGGTGGTCAGGGGTCCAGGGCGGCTGCGAGGCATGCTCACCGTTGGCTGGAGACTGCTGGATGCAGCTGACTGTGCAGCCCCCAGAGAGCCTGCTTCGTCTCCAGGGGGAGGCACCCCTACGGTCGGCCCTCCAGGGGGACCCCCATCTTCTCGTTTGGTCAGGGGGCCTTTTTTCGTCGACTGCATTTTAATCTGCTGAGGCTTGGAGTTCATTGGGGAGTTGTTGGTGGTCTGGAGGAGCTGCAGGAGCCAAGGGGTGAGGATGAGGCTGGAGCAGCAGGCTGTGCCATCAGCTCAGCGGCCGGCTCCCCCGCCCTCAGGGACTGCTCACTCCCAGCCTGGCTGGTCCTGGGGGCGCCCAGGTGTCCTCTCCCCATCCAGAGCTCCATCCTGTCCCTGCTCTGGCTGTTCTTCCCGCAGCCAGGGATCCTCGGCCCCTCCCACTCAGCCCAGCTCCCAGACAGGGCCCTGCCTGCCAGAGCCCGGTGAGCTGAACTCCAGGCTCCCAGACGGGCTAAGACTCCTCAGAACATCAACTGCATCTCCAGCCCGAGGACCTGCGGCCCCGGAACCAGAGTCTGGGGCAGGTTTTAACTTCAGGCCCCAGCAGTGGCTATCCCGGCAGCCGGGAACATCGCACGTGTGGCTATCACCCAGGAGGAACGCCCTGGGCCCGCTCTCCCGGGGCAGGGACTGGTCTTGGCCCGGCCGGTCAGGAGATCCCACACGGCCTCTCCAGAAGCACCTGCTGTGCTGGCGGGCCAGTGACCCTGGTGTCTGCTGGGGGCAGGGGAGATCTGCCCGGCCATACCTTGGTGATGGTGCCCACGGCCTTGGTGCGGCCTTCCCGGAACACCAGCCGCTGGTCTATGTGCAGGTACTCGGGGGTCTTGATAAAGCGGAAGTGCACCGTGGCCTTGTCCCCAGTGCGTAGACAGTCCTTGTCCATGCTCAGAATGGTGGCCGTCTGCCTGATGCTCCCACAGTGCACTGCCAAGGGAGCCAGGTCAGACGCCATTAGCCTCAGGGCCGGGGAGGCAGAGTGAAGGCATGAAAGATGCCTGAGCTGCGCAGGCTAAGCCTGGGGAGGCCTAGGGGAGCCGAGTGAATGGAGGCTGCACTGAGATCTGATCGGGCCTCGAACTCACCTACCTTTTCCTCCCGTTAGACCTCACCTGTCCCTGGGACCTGGTCCTTACTCCTGAATTCAGGGCACTATGTTTGCATGTGTCTCTAGCCTGCTGGCTTCCTGAGGGCAGGGCCCTTGCCTACCTGGCCTTTGTCCCCAGCACCTGGCAACACCTGGTCTCAGCGTGTCATTCAGCAGACACTGAGTAGGCACACGGCCGGCACTCAGTTTGTTTGCAGGATTGATAAACGCTACAGCTCGTGGGCGGAAAAGGGAGCATCACTAAGCAGGAAGGAGATCTCTTGGATGGAGCTGAAACTTGTGGGTTCGGGTCACTGGAGAACTTTGTAGAGAGCTAGAGTGGGGGGCTCCTGGGCTGGCAGCCCCGTTAGACACCTACCCATGGCCTGGTAGCGTGGGCTAATTGTGGTGGGGTGGTGGAGGACGAGGATCTCGGCCTCAAATTCCCAGGATGCTTGGGGATTCAAACGCGGGGAAACCATCACCATGCCCTTCCGGATGGATGAGCGCTTAATCTGAAAGAGAGAGGAACCCCAGACTCAGGCACAATGGGCCTTCGGGCTGCAGCCCCTGGTTCCCAAGGAATAGCCGACCTTCTGGGAATGAGGACTGCCCCACTCAGCCTTGCCCTCACTGCACCGGACCACAGGCCTTCCAGGCAGGTCTTAGCGCTCTGGGGAAGCGGAACACTGCTACTCAGGGTCATGCAGGAGCGGCATTTCGGCTGGGCCGTCAAGGATGGGTAAGAGCTAAGTGGGTGATGAGGGCGAAGGCAGGAAGCGATGGTGGGAGGAACAGGGCGAGTATGACATGACTGTCGGGGGGATAGAGACAGCCTCATCTTGCTGGCTAACTTGGTTGGCGGAGAAGGTAGGTGATCCTAGAGCTGGCACTCACCCCTTCCTGGGGAAGGAGGTGGAATGGGAAGAGGAGTTGGCATGGACCCCAATGGCCCTCAGCACAGCAGGGAGATGCCTGTCTGACCTCACCATGAGCTCAGCACACCCTGCTCAGGACTGGAGGGAGGAACAAGCTCAGGAGGCAGGCAGGCCTGGCTCCAGTCTCGGCTCTAGCACGTGCCCCCTGTGCACTCCTGGGCATGTCACTCAGGCGGGCTCAGCTCCGTTTCCTCCTCTGCAGGTGAGGTCAGTAAGCCCTGGCTGGCAGAGCAGCCATGAGGATGGAGACGGCCCGAGCCTAGTAAAACGCGGACTCTTAGGGGAGTTAGGGTATGACCGACTCTCACCTTCTTCAGCGCAAAGGAGGCTGTCTGGCCGCCCCGCACCTCCTTGACAGGCATGCGCTTGCGGTGGATGGACTTCACAGCGATGGACAGGAAGTTCCCCAGAGGATCCGGGCCCAGCAGCAGCGTGTCATTCAGCTTGATCAGGCCCCTGAGTGTGGTCCCTGACACCACCGTCCCCACACCCTGCAGAGAAGACCCTGGCCCAGTAAGTCTCTCCCCACTCAGCCCCTTTCCACCACACACTCAGCCCAGCCCCCTGTGGGAAGTGCCCGCCCAGCCTCCCGCCCTGCTCGTCCGGCAGCCACGCACCGGCACGGAGTACGTGTCGTCGATCTGAAACTCCGCCGGCTCCTCCTCACGGTAGCTGGTGCGGGGGGACAGGAGGTTGAGGAACATCTTCAGCAGATCTAGGTTCTCGCCTGTGACGTTGGAGATCTGGAATATCGGGCACATCCTACGTGGAGGGTGAATAAAAAAGACAGGAGCTCAGGAGGCCAGCCTGGCCGACAGGATGGGAGCAGCAGGGGGGCTCCTGGGAGAGCCGCACTGCCCCTCACCCGCCTCCCAGGGCTCTTCCCTCTGGCCCGACTCTAAGGCCTTCTCCTCTTACTCAGCTTGTCTCTAAAATCTGCCCTCTCCTGTCTGATCCTCTACCGCTGCCCCGTTTCAGGCCCTCGTAACTGCTTCTTCCTGAAGCACACGCAGGCTTGCTTCAAGTCCTCACTCCCCTTCCCCTTATGGAGAAAACAGCCCGCGTCCCTCCTCCCAACATCCTGCAGGTATTTCTCTCAAATCCCTATATTCCAGCCAGACCAGAGGACTTACTTTCTTCTAAAAGCCGGGTTCTTTATGCTCCCCTGTATTTGTCCACTCTGATCCTCCTGCCTGAACTGCTTCCCTCTTATCCAACTACCAAATCCTCTCATCCTCAGGGCACGCCTCCCTGCTGCTTCTTCCAGGAGACCCTTCCCAGATGGGCATTCACTCCTCTCAGCTCTTGAGCTTTTTGTGCCTCTGTTACATGTAACTATGTCTGACCTGCCGTCATTTATCTCAAAGGGCTCTGTATCTCCACCCAGGGTTAATCAAACTCCTGGAGATCAGGAATTATGTATCCCCATGGCTCCTAGAATAGTGCCTGCACAGACAGGCACCAGAAACACTCAGTGAATTAAAATGGGGGCAGCTGCCCTGGCTGGTGTGGCTCAGTTGCTTGGGCGTCATCCTGTGCACCAAAGGTTGTTGGTTCGATTTCCGGTCAGGGCACATACCCAGGCTGCAGGCTTGATCGTGGGTAGAGGATGTACACGAAGCAGCTGATGTTTCACTCTCACATCAATGTTTCTCTCTCTCCCTCTCCCTTCCTATCTCTCTCTAAACACACACACACACACACACACACACAATAAGAAAATAATTTTAAATAAGATAAATGGGGGCAGCTGAAGTGTACCCCCTCTGCTGGTCAAATGGTGGTACTGAAGACACTGTCGGGGCAGAACAGGCCAAATGCCAGGGTCCTGTACTACAGACCACACCAGAAGACAGGTGGCTCTAAGCAGCCCCAAGACTCTGGGAGAACGAACAGAGCTAACAAAGTTCAAAGAGTATCTCTGACAAAGGAGCTGACCACCTTGAAGACAAGGCTAGTGCCTGAGTCAACTCTGAAACCTCAATGCTGAGATGAAGAGCCTGGCACACAACAGACATCCAAGTATATTTATAGAATCACAGGATATGTTAATGAGTAAAGGCCTAAACTGATTTGTGATTTGAGAGCTTCTGAGATACAACAGTATAAAAGTATAGAATAAGTTATAAAAATGGCAGCTTTCTATTACGCAGGGGCCAGGCACAGTTTCCAACCCTACGAGAGCCCTATGGAGAAGGGAACATCATTCCCATTTCACAGGCAAGGACACTGAGGTCTCGCTGGGATTCTAACCTCAGTGAGGCTAGCTCCTCAGAATTTGAGGCACCTGCCAGCCTGGGAGACCTTGTGCTGAGAGCACGAGTCCACTTCACCCCGTCTGTGCCCGCCCAGAAGTGAGTGCTCCCTACCCTGTTACCTCTCGGAGCTGAAGTTGGAGGCGGTAACGATCACATCATCCTTGCTCTGCACCAGCACAGGGATCTTGCGGCAGCCTGGCGACTTCAGCAGGCGCTGTAACAGCTTCAGGGTTTCTTAAAGGGTGAAATGAACAGAATTAGGAGACACAGGCTTCTCTTTGGCCAGGCTTTTAGGGCAAAACAGGTCCACTCATCACTGTTGCAAGCAGGAGACAGAGAATGTTAAATGCCACAATGCCTGGGGAAGCAAAAAAGAGGATCAAAACTTCGGGTGGATGCATGTTTGCTAGAGTAGAAACAGAGCACGGATGGGGCCTGTCTGCTGAGGTTACGAGTCTGAAACCATTGGATTTCTTTAATCTCCAGAAGACCCGCATCCTGTAAGTGATGGGAGGAGGCAAGTGGGGGGGAGGTGGGGGGCGTCCACGGGGACAATGTTCTCAGAATGCTCTGCTTCCTGGGGAAAAAAGCATCTGACAAAAGGATCTCTAGCACATGCAGACGCCTGCAGAGGTCCTCATGAGGCCCCCCCAAAGGACATCTCTCCATTTCTCTCCTACCATCTGCAGCTACGAGGGAGAAATGCATGAAGGCCTAGTCCTGCTCTTGTTTTGAAGCCTTTGGTGCTAAAACATTATCAGCCTGGCCGGTGTAGCTCAGTGGTTGAGCGTCAACCCCTGAACCAAAAGGTTACCAGTTTGATTCCTGGTCAAGGCACATGCCCCGGCTGCAGGCTCGATCCCCAGTAGGGAGCGTGCAGTTAACAGCCGAGCTTTGATGTTTCTCTCTCATTGATGTTTCCATCTCTCTATCCCTCTCCCTTCCCCTCTTTGTAAAAGAAATCAATGAAAACATATTTAAAAAAACAAACATTACCAGACCCTCTACCCCAATGTTGCCACATATATCCAGCTCACATGGTAAAACCCAACCCCCTCTGTCTGAGGCCATCTGAAAAGAGGTACCAGACTAGAGGCCTCAAGAATCTCGCATTTGGAACCAGAAAGAACCAAGTGCAGGGGTAATTCTAGGCTATGCTCAGACCAGAGCTGAACAGGGAGAAGGCAGAAGGTTCTGGGCTGATGGGAAACTCAGGTGAGGTCTGAGCACAAGAAAAGGACGCTGAAGGCTCTGGGCTGAGCCCTGGCAGCAGACCACCAAGGAGCCCAGGGGTGGCAGCCCCAACCAGAGAGACTGCTGCTAGCTGGGGCTTCACTTACCTTGCAAGATGTTAGCAGGACACATATCAATCTTGGTGACCACCACAAAAACAGGCACATTGAGTGCCAATGCCAAGCCCAGGTGCTCCTTGGTCATCCCCACGATGCCAGCATTGCTGCCCACCTGCCCCAACACAGAAAGAACTATCAGGGCAAGGGAGACAGAGGTGGCTGCTGGTGGCACAGAGACTTAACAACTGCTGACGGGAGAGCGCTCCCATCTCTGAGGCCGCCATCAGAATTGGACATGGGCACAAGTCTCAGGCCAGGAACTAAATGGCTACAGATGAAAGGTGGTCTGGGCACAGATTGCTTTAACCCAATTTAACACTGTGGGCTATCAAAATCCGAGGAGACTTGGAAACAATGAAAGACAAGTCCACAGAGTGCGGAATCTCGGAGTGAAGGTGGGAGATGGTGGGTGGTGGGAGGTAATCAACCAAAGACCTTATATGCATGTATGCATAACCAATAGGGTGCTGAAGGCCTGAGGTGGGGGAAAATACAATCAATCAATCAATCAATCAGTCAGTCAATCAATAACTGTCTGTAAGCCCTGGCTGGTTTGACAGTGGATAGAGC